AGAAAAATTTGGTAAATGTTTTGCGGAATAATCTTTTAGGACTGTCCTAGTATTACCAACTCAAAAATTTTGAAAAGTGCTATAAACGTTTTTGGGGTTGCATTACATCTGATCTTGAAATGTGATTGAACAGTGAAATTTTTTAGTGGTAACACTAGCACAAGCTTAGGCCGAATGTTTAATCATGTGATATTAAGACAAGATTTATATTATTAATAAACTTTTAAACCTTTTAATTTATAATTCATGTTTCGAACGCATATTGTTAAGTCTCAAATGACTTAGATTCAGATGATCAGAAACAACGTACAAGGAGTTTTGCCAACCTTTAAATCTACTGATAAACCATTAGAATTGATTAAAAATAAAAAAAATATTTAGGTGGTCTGTTGCCGTATCAAATAAATTAACTAGCTCATCAGAATTTAGATTATTGATAATATCCTGTATCAGTCTTGAAGAAATGGTGTATTATAAGGACGATTTTAGTAATGTAATCCCGAAAAAATCCCTAATTATGGACTTACCTTCGGTTTAATTATTAAAGATAATTCAATTAATTTTATTGATGATAAAAAATTACCGTTGCAAATTGAAAATGTGATTAAATATGGTGGAATAATCAAATTATAACTAATCAAATGGTTGTAGAAAACGTATTCAAAATGCTGATGGATACTTATTCTCTTAACACTTTCCAGGATCCACAAGTATCATACAAAGAATAAATCTATTAATTTACAAAAGTTAACAATATCCAAGATTATAAACACCATCTTTAATTATATGAATGAAAAACATTCCACGGGATGGCGTAGTGCATACAGTGCTGCAGTGATGGCAAATGACAAGGTCATAAAAATTATGTAAATATATATAAATGACATGTCATTTTAAATTGACAATATCATTTTTCCTAAAAAAAAATATATAAAGTCATGGCAAAATGACAAATCATTAAAATTATTTTTATAAATGACATTATAAATGACAAAAGCCATCTATTGTTGATATTATTACCTACTCAATATCAAAACTGTGAAATCAAAATTTCTGCATTACGCTGTTTAAATTATGAATTCCCTCTGTTAAAGTCATCAATTCACCTACTATTAAAGTAGCATGTATTGTATTGAAATTATTATTATGTATTAGTGCATTTAGACTAAGACTTTTTGAAAATTATTATATAAAGACTTCTAATTGGTTAATAAAAATAACATGATATATAAATGACAAGTTGTCATTTATTTTAAATGGACAATATGCCAACACTGCATGCAATTATATTGAAAGGATAAACAAACATTATTTTTTGGTTGATTTTATGGAAAAAGACATCGAATACATGGATGGTCCTTTATTATTTAATGACAAACTAATTAGTAAATACCTTTTAGAGACAATCTTTAAGCAGACAGATCTTATATATGATTGCATTACTCGGAAAATTCAAAATTAGATTTTTTTTTTTTTTTTTTTTTGAGGGGTTACTCTCTTCATATCTTAGATCTAATGAATTTTATTATGTTTTTTTGAGAAACGATAATAATATCCTAAATCTTCGTGGATACCAAACTTAAGCGGCTGGAATACAAAATATGCGTTCTATCTTGATGAAAAAAAAGACAAAGTATTGTTAAATTAGAGATAACACTATTCAAGTTTGGTATAATCAAGAAACAGATCCCTTGAATTCATTCATGCGCCTTTATTTCATTCGCGCCTGTCATTAGAAGTAATAGATATTAAATATTGCATTAGGAAACTCAAGCTTAGCATTCAAAAAGGTAATGAAAGAAAAAATTAGAATGGATGATATTATGAAAGTAGCAAAATATACAGTACCTGCTACACACTATTAAGTTTTTGAAGCTTGAATATGCTGTGGACATTCTTGGACATGTGGACGTTTGGACATTGGACATGACCTAACAAAAGTCTTGGGCATAGTAGACGTGACAACACTGATCAGGAGCATGCATTGTAAGCTTTATGCTTAATTTGTTTATCTATAACTTTAAATTATAAAATTTTAAAATATCAATATCAATAATGTATTACCAGATTTATTCGTACTTGTTATTGGTTAGGTTGTGGATGATAACTGATTTATCGTTAGGTTACTATATAAATCACGTGGCTTAGTCACGTAATTCAGTTTTCATTACAACTTAACTGATACCATTTTTATCTAATCATTTAACTCTTACTCTTTTGTTATTTTCGCTTACTTTTCATTTTCGCTCACCATTTTTTTTCTTTTTACACTTGTTTGTTTTTTTTCATTCGCTCAATTTTTTTTCTTAACTTTCATATGAGTTTTATGCGAGTTTCACAGCTTCCTACGCAAGAAATAAAATCAAAAAAAAAGATCAAAAAACTAATTTATTACATGATTAGAAAGTGATCGAATAATATACACAAAAAACGTCCAGTGTGTACATAGGACATGTCGGATAATTAAATTTCCTAAATCTATAATTTTATTTGCTTAGTCGACAAGCATGAAAATTTATATCTGAAGCTTGGAAAGTTGGTAAATAATCATTATATTCAGACATTTAATTTGAAGGACATTTTATTTATTAAACTTTTTTTATATTAAGGTGAGACCAATTTATTAAACTTCTATATGATCACTAATTATATTTTATAATAAAAATGTAATTATATGAAAATATCCTATAATAGCCACATCTTTATATAATCGCCAATTTCTGTATCCCGAAGTATCCCGAGGATGTGATTATATAGTGGTTAGACTAATTTGAAATACTTCATAATCATCTACAGAAAAATAACCATCGCTGGATCTGATTCTAATATTATAATTATTTTTATCACCATAGAGTGTTGAATGATATTGCCATTTATCAGGAGAAAAATAATCACTCATTCCAAAATGATAAAACCATGGGCCACGATCTTGATTATCATAATAAATTGCTTTCGATGGATCTGTTACACGGCTAAGAATAGATTTTTCAGGGGTTTCATCGTTTAAAGAAAAAATAAAGCTATCAGATGTTTTGGACCATGTGACCTGTTTACAATCACCCCATTTAAGAGGATTATATCCACCGAGTATTTCATTTGTATTTTTAACTTTTAAACCAACCAACGTAGAAGATTTTTCATCACAAAGATCATGAAACCTGTCACTCGTAAACCCATCTCTGCTACCTCTAAATACTAATTCGAATTTATATGGAATTTCCGCAACATCATATGGAGGTGAACATCGATCAATCCAAGAAGAGATCACTGCAGCATGCTTTACAGTAATAATATGAGAAAATACTTTGTAATCGACGTTAAGGTCTTTAATTAATCCCGTTTCTAGATCGTAAATCAATCCATGTATAACGATGTTAACACCATTATCCCAAGCTTTTTTGACAATATTTGTAGCAGCAATATTGCGAACTTGTTTTTTGACGTTAAGTTCAGATAAAAGATTCTCACGTTCTTTTGATGGTTTATCATCAAGTTGGAATTTATTAGACAAGTAAATCTCATTAAGATCTTGCAGCCAATGGTCAACGACACTATCATCATTGTTCGCTGTATAGATAAACAGATGTAAGTCCTTAAAATATTTCGATTTGTAGAATAAGAATTTCCTTTTAAATACTTACTAATTGACGCTTTAACACCACCACACATGTAATGGCCTATAATGTAAAAATATTATTATAGTGTACTTTTAATATATTAATAATATTTAATAATATTTAATAATATTTAATAATATTTAATAATTTTTAAAAAAATATGAAAAAGTTTGCCACGCACCACAAACAACTATTTGTTTGACGTGAAGATGGTTTATTGCATATTCAAATATTGACAATACACTTAAGTCAGTGGTATGAAATTGATTAGCGATATTTCGAATAACAAAAATTTCTCCAAGATTCGATTGAGTTATTATTTCGGGTGGCAATCTGCTGTCGGAGCAACCTTTGATTCAAGTAATTTAAAATTAGATGAATATTTTACTTATTTGTAATATTAATTAATTAGTTATATATCTGCCTGTTACATAAGAATAATTACATCTGTAGTATAAATTATCCATAATAACTTGCAGGCATATAACAAAAGGATTCATTTTCATGAATATTAAAATAGATATGGGCTTGGTGCTGCAAAAGGGGTAAATAAACTATAATCAATCATAAGAAAATACAAACTTTAAAATAGCTATACTGCAAAATTTTATTAGTTTAACTGCTTTGTTTTTTTAAGTGAAAATGATTCTGATCTTATTTTAAATTGATTTGTACAAAAAAATTGGTCTGAAAATTTTGTCAAATTAACCCTTTTTTGCAGCACCTAGCCCATATTATCTTTTTTGGTCTTACCTATCCAAATAAATTTTGGTTTCTGAGGTTTTTTCGCAATATTTTTAAAATAATCAGGATCTTTAGCTTTCTTAGCCTCTGCCCATTTATGATTTTTATCAATTAACTCTTTAATTTGTTCAGGCATGATGAATAGATTTTAGAACAATTCTTAGCATTTAACTTCCAATGTTTTTTTTTTTAAGATAAATGATAAATATTTATTCAATAACAGATAAACGAGAATTACTTATATGTTGTCGATTTCCGTGAAATCATATAAAACCCTCAATCTCCTTGTATAGTAACAATACGCTAAGAAACAAGATTAATCTATATCTGATTTGAGATATGTCAATTAAGCGTTTGAAATACGTATCAATAAGTCGTTATTGAGAATGACAAATTTGCTTATCTCTCATGGTTACAGGTTGTTTCTTGGTATATTTTGGTTATTTTGCAAATTTCTTTGTGCTTGTGTTTTAAATTGCGATTTTATATATTCTCGTAAGCCGCCACATTGCCTATTTTTTACAATGAGATTCTCAAACTGGTAGTATAATGAAAACAAATACAGGTTACACCGTCAATATCAACCTCGTTAATATCCACCTAAGCCACAAACCAAATATTTATAAATTTTTATATATCCAAATTCCCTTATATATACATATATATCAACTTTAATATGATTTCTCGTTAATATCACTATCAACATGATTTAAAACCAATTCAAATAGGTTGAT